TTTGGGGGGGGGCATAGGGAACACACAGCCCAAATTTTGGGGGGCAGCAGCCTTGGGCACCCCCAGCGTGGCACAGACAGGGCAGCCCTGGGAGCTTCACAGGGAAAAATCCCCAAATTTAGGGGGGTTCAGGAGCAACACCCCCCCACACCGAGTCCTGCGGGGAGAATGCACAGCCCGAATTTGGGCTACGTGCCCCAAATTTAGTAAATTTAGGACACACAGCCCAAGTCTGGGGGGTACCGAGGACAAACAGCACAAATTTGGGGGGCATGGTTCAAATTTGGGGGCACAGAGAACACACAGCCCAAATTTTGGGGGGCACAGAATCACACAGCCAAAATTTGGGGGGCACAGAGAACACACAGCCCAAATTTTGGGGGTTACAGCCCAAATTTAGGGAGGGGGCACAGAGAACACACAGCCCAAATTTTGGGGGTTACAGCCAAAATTTTGGGGGGCACAAAGAACACACAACCCAAATTCGAGGGGCAAATTTTGGAGGGGGAGGGGCACAGAGAACACACAGCCCAAATTTGAGGGGTAAATTTTGGGGGAACAGAGAACACACAACCCAAATTTTGAGGGGCAAATTTGGGGCACACAGCCCAACTTTGGGGGGGGGCACAGAGAACACACAGCCCAAATTTTGACGAGTAAATTTTGGGGGGTACAGAGAACACACAGCCCAAATTTTGGTGCACACAGCTAAAATTTTGTAGGGCACAGAGAACACACAGCCCAAATTTTGGGGTGGGGGCACAGAGAACACACAAGGAAAATTTGAGGGGTAAATTTTGGGGCGCAAAAAAACCACACAGCCCAAATTTCAGGGGTAAATTTTGGGGGGCATAGAGAACACACAACCCAAACTTCGGTGCACACAGCCAAAATTTTGGGGGGCACAAAGAACACAGAACCCAAATTTGAGGGGAAAATTTTGGGGGGAACAGAGAACACACAACCCAAATTTTGAGGGGCAAATTTGGGGCACACAGCCCAAACTTTGGGGGG